ATTATCATTGTACTCTGAACATCACTTACTCTACAACACAATATCATGTTTAACTTAATGTGCTGTTTGTTGTTGTTGTTTTTTAATTGAAATTAGTGGGGTTTTTTTGTATATTGCATACCCAATGCGATATATTGAAACAGAATTAATGTTTCAATAGACACTTTGAAAAAAAAACTGTAAATTGACAACTGTGAATATCATTAATTATATTTTGTGACATCCAAAATAGTTAATTTCGTTGTTACAAATTCATATTTGAAAAAAAAAAACGAAAAATGAACCTAAGAAGCGTTTTACACCGCCGAATACTGGTACCTACGAACGTTTGAATTTAACCACAAACCGCATGCTATTTCTCACTGAGCAGTTGATATTTGCTTGCTTATGTATTCCTCACATTGTTAGATACTGATGGTGGAGATGATGTCAACACACATGCGTTTGTATCAAGGCGTAAATTAGATAAGTAAATAAGTACAGTGCATGCTTGAAATCTAAAGCTTCTTCTCAAAACATTATCAACACATTTAAACCAAAATGAAGAGAGTTAAGCAAATGTAAATAAAAGTAATAATATCGACGTTTAGTGTGATCAGAAGTCATTGCCAAACAACAAAGCAATAGAAATCTCCGTACCGTAGGAAAAACTACACCAAGAAATAGTTCGGAAAATGTGTTTTATATATTGAGGTATTCCATTTCCCCTACGCTAATAGCTGCCGTATCAGTGGTGTGACTGTTCTTGTCACATGATAAAGGACCACCAGAACCATATAACGAACCTAGTATTTCTATGGTCAGTTCGTGACATGTCTGACCACTGGAGAAGTGTTGATGGTCCGATTACCTTAACAATGATGATATTTTACTGGGCAGTTTATGAAAAAGTAATAGATTTTACAATGTGCTTTTTGTGAAATAAAACGGTGGCTTGCATTACGCTCCAGCGTACTCCTGTCGTATATGGGGACATGGTGCGTGATGTAGTACACGTAGTAAGTGTTCAGGCAGAACAATGGATTGGTCTTAGGGGGAGTCTTTCCTGTAACAAAAAAAATAATAATAACAGAGGACGATCTCGTAATCCGGGAAACAACAAAAATGTAATAACAAAATCTCATTCCTAATTCCAAACCAATTGAATGTAGACAAATTATAAACATATGAATGATTTAAACGTGGAACCCGTAAAAAAAACAAGGTAGCAAAGAACAGGTGTTTCGGAAGTAAGTATCATAAACTTCAATGGCAAATGATATCTTCCAGGAATTTTGTATCACTAAAGTGGAAAGTGACTTTACTGTTTTAACAGTTTACAATTGTAAGATAGGGTACCGGAGAGCCGGACCATTGATACGGTTCAGTTTCTGTGTCATACACAAATGAATACCTTATATATTTATTAAAGGGTTTTTTTCATGAATGCGAAAACTGAGGGTATCTATATTTGTAACATTGTAGATCTATGCAGATTATTAAGAGAATAATGATATTTCGTAAAACAAAGTTCTACATAACTATTTTACGTTATCATTTATAAAATGAAATAAATAAATAATTTGTGATCATTGCATATTATCATATGTAACTAGTTGTAAGAGTTATCTCCCTTCCTTGCAACTTTTACGTGTGATATTTTGTACGACGTATGTTTCAGAATGTCTATACAGTACTATACTGCATGGTATTATACTGTTACTATAATACTTGTTGTTGCCTTCATTGAATAAAGAAATTATGATAAAACATTAACGACTTGGTGGTTTATTGTACCCAGTTACATTTAGTTTACAAAATTTTACCCGTAATAATTCCCTTGCACGTGCTGGAGAGCAAGATAAATGTAATACAGTTCTGATTAGTCCTCATCCATCAGATTAACAAAGCTATACAAATCGTCTTCAGATTCAGATATAGTATTATAAAATACTAAAAAATTCTATAAAAACGTGAACATGCAAGTAGTCTCACTATTGACGGTAATGGTACTGATTCGAGAATATATAACAAACCGTCTAATATGAATAACCAGGTAGCTTGTCTAAACTTTCCGCTATAAAAAACACCGAACGCTGGTTGTTTAGTTAGAGAAACTGGGTCCAAGTCTATTCGACTCTTGACCGTGTGTATGGTATTAAAATGACCCAGTAGATGTTACGGTAACAGGACTAAATGGGAATGATGACACTAAAAAATAAACAAAAACAAACAAACAAAAACAAGCACAAACAAAAATATAAATAAATAACCATACTGACACCTGATACATACAATGCACATTGGTCAATTTAATTTTTAAGTTCGCTTGAGATGATTTCGTAAGATATCAACAAGAAAAATATTTGAAAGATACAGATATTCATAGTAGAAGACTAAATACGTAAGTAACCATTTTGATGATGACATAGTTAAAGTTGATCCCGTCATTGAACATTACATACACAGAAGACTCGACTCACTCGGACAACACTCGTCATTTTCACAAGACTATCTTTAATCAGGGATTGGTTTCAACAATAAATCAAGTTGGTAATGTATGACTTAGACAACTTAACTTTAACCTATATAAGATGAGATGGGAACAATACAGATGAAAATATATAGCTTAAAGGAAACGCTCAGACAAGGTACACATTTGTTGACAATATCTGACATTGACTCGAATTCGATCTAGAGACGAACATTTATCATATCACAAATATATACATATATATGTACATACTTTACTCGAGTATAAATACCACGGTACTCTTGATCTCAGATCCACTACTCATATCAACCATATTTGCCACTTTAATAGATTGTCCAATCAGAGGTGTTGAAACTGAATTTCGTAGTCAAGGTCTTTTGTGCGTTTGCAGTGAACGTCACTTCCTTGATAAGCAACAACTGACAGTGATGTTGTTGGAGATGGCCGAAACTGGATGTCTAGTTGACAAGATTGTTATTCATGGCTTATTTCAGGTAACATATCATAACTGCAACCACGTCTAGTCTGTTGCATTAATATTGTTGTGGATTTTCTTTATTTCTTTCATTAGAGAATGAGAAGGACGATGCTTCGGGTCACTGATAGTCGTGAGCTGTCCGAATTGCAGGTTACACCCTCAAGCTAATTAATTACGCTAGGTCACGTTGAAGAATGATATTGGATACCTGTTTTAGCAACATATTTCGCACTTTACTTCACCTATTGAGTCTGTAACATAACATCGTAACATGATATAAAGAAAACTGTGGAATATATATACTGGGTCTCTGTAAATGTGTACAGTGTAATTAACAGGTCGCTTCGTCCACCTGGACATGTAATTAGCCTACAAATGAAAAATGTTAAATGGGCCGACACATCTTATACACTATTGGTAACGTGGCCCTGTGATTCCTCCTTCTACAATCATACTTATAAACCGCTCACTTGTAAATGTCTTGCATTAAAAGAACTAAATGGATATGTAGATATGCCCTTTAGGCCAGCGGTTAGGGAGACTGAATTCGAAGTGTAGCTAATTTGAAGTCTGGCGAGGGCAGCATGTTTTTCATTAGTCCTTCCAACTATAGATTTGGTGCTGCTGACCACTCCAGGGGTAAAAGTCACAGGAGATTGAGATGCTTCCTTGGAGATATTGAACCTGGGTTGTTGTGGTTGGGGTCAATTATTCTGTGAAGGAGTTAGTAGTATAGAAGTTAAGGAAACAAGTCACCTAGTTAGCCTTGGCTAGTGGGAATTTGTATTTAGTGAAGTGGTAGAGTGTCAAGCGAAAGACTGGAGGGTCGCTATTTCAAACCCCAGAGTAGGAACGTTTTTTTTTTTCATTACTCCTTCCTATTACATATGTACATTAAGTACATTACAACACCATACTAAATGTAAGTAGTTTGATGAATCAGGATTTGTTTTAATCAAGTCAGTTTGTATTCACACCATCTTGTTATGGTTTTAAAATTGCGTAGCAGAAATTAGTGACAGTGTAGTGTCGTTGTGCACATATCCGTTAACCATTTGGTACAAAGGTAGAGGTTTGAAGTGTTTTTGATCAGGGGCTATAGTAAATTTGTCCAAGTGTAAAGTGTACTTGGTTTATTGCACAATGCCAAAGAAACATAAACCTTTGACTTAGCATCAAAATATAAAATGATGGTGCCAGCTGTTGTCGGTTCAAGACACACTGACACTAGTAGTCCAGAGGGTTATGACTATCTATCTGTGATTCCATTTTTTTTCTATGTTGTGGTTGACCATGTACATAAACCACATCATATTCAACTCCTGGCAGAGCCACACTACTCCTTTCCTCTTACTATTTCACTTTGATTGTTTCACAATGTCAATAGCATCTTGTACCAGTATATTAATTATAAACAGTCCTGGTACATACATATGAGAGACAATTCAGCCAGAGGAATTCCAACCTTTCACTTCATTAATTACCTTGACCTACTTTCAAGCTTACATCAGTCACACAAGTTGGTAATTCCAAATTCTGTAATATTTGTGAAAGAACATGGAAAAGTACACATTCCCGCTGAGTCTCCAGCATGATAAATAATCTACATCTGTTTCTACCCAAAGACTCTGTCAGCTGAGTGACACCCAAAGACTGTCAGCTGAGTGACACCCAAAGACTCTGTCAGCTGAGTGACACCCAAAGACTGTCAGCTGAGTGACACCCAAAGACTCTGTCAGCTGAATGACACCCAAAGACTCTGTCAGCTGAGTGACACCCAAAGACTCTGTCAGCTGAGTGACAAAGACTATATTTATGCCCCTCAGCTCCATTTCTTTTACACATTAAAAGTATCTTAAATTTGTTTTTATTTCATAAGAAACGAAAACTCATTTAAGATTCTATTTATATATTAGATACTTGAAAGCTAACAATGCAAAAATGTAATAAAAAAAATCTAAAACTAGTTTTCTTTTTTGCACTTAGATAATGTCTTAAGATTGTTTTACTTTTGTTGTAGGTGATTGTTATCACTATAGCTGATTTAGTATGACTTCCTCAGAGGTTCCCATGGTAACTAGTGCCATGGCTGCTCCTACAAGAGATCCGTCAGCTGTCATTGATACTGCAGCACACATCCAGGAAACAATGGCAGCCCTGGATGAGAACCAGCCATTCTATACCAAACAGGGAGAGAACTTCATGTGTAATCTCTGTGACAAGTCATTTAATTACAAAAACGGTTTGATCAGGCATTTGAGGTTGACACATGGAAAAGAAAAACCATTTGAATGCAATATTTGTCACAGAAGATTTGGCTACAAGAATATCCTGATGGAACATCAAAACATCCATTTTGGCATAAAACCATATGCTTGTAATCTTTGTGACAAACGGTTTGCAGCAAGATCTAATCTGGTTCAACACAAGTTAGTACACAGGAAACCATTTTCTTGTACAATCTGTACAAAACGGTTTGATAAACCCGAACAACTTCAGAGGCATCTGCTGGGTCACCCTGGTGGAGTATTGAGCTGCAACCTTTGCTCTTTCTCCACCACAAACCAGCTGTCCCTGAATGACCACATACAGAAGAACCATCCACCTCAGGTCATGGATACAAAGGATAAACATTCCTCAAACTTTGACACATCGTCCATTGAAAATTCAGGTTTCACTCAACAAAAGGGGACATTACCTCAGTTTGGTGTTGCTTTTAACTTCTCCAAGATGAAGTCACCAAGTCAGCAAATGAAAACCCCTTCACCGAGTCATTCAGGGAGCAGTAGTCCCATGGTATCGTCTAGTCCAGGAAATGACCTGGGTGTTGATAGTATTCGTCGTATTGACAGTATATGTGCCAACCTGGCATCACGCAATCCATCCGTTCTCTCTCAGGGAGACATCAGTGGTCTCTCACATGGCATTAATGTCAAACAGGAACCGCAGTCTCCTTGTTCTGACTCTGCTGACTCCGCCCATTTCATGAACCCAGGCTTGAGCACTCCATTTGGACACAACATGAGTATGAATCACCTAAACCAACAGCGTATGCAAATGGGTGGATACTCGGGTCAGTTTGGTTCAAGTGGGGGCAGTCATCGTGGCCGAAGTCAAAGTACTGATAATGCTGTGTTAGCTTCTGCAGTAATCAATGTTGAATCGACACAACCTGGGTCTGTGAGGCACAATGGTGGCCAAACAAAAGAGGCTGCTGATTCCACCAGCAATGTGTCGGAGGTACTCTCCATGCTGCAGACTCTTGCACGACGCTCAGAGGAAGAAGGCCCGGGAAAATTTCCTCAAATTTCCATTACTATCAGCCATCCAAAAAATAATGTTGACAAAGCTACACAGTTTACACAACACAATCCCAGTGCACCAAACCTACAGGACACCTTGGCTTATTACGAGGCTCAGGGCAAGATATACAGGTGTCAACATTGCCGTATTCTGTTTGAGGAACGTGGGTTGTATTTTCTGCATGTGGCTCTTCATGGCTCTCCAAATCCTTGGGAGTGTAGCATCTGTCATACTGTATTTGCTGACAGAAATGACTTTCATCTTCACTTGATTAATCAACAGCATTGTCATGGTACTGTGTAGCACCATTGGACATAGTTCTAGTATCACTACTGTTTATTTAACTTGTACTGTATAAATTATCTTGTTACTGGCCTGTACTGTCCTACAGCGTTAATGTTACTAGACACATTTCTTTCACTGTATTGATATTCTTATTTAATGATGTCATACAAAACTGTCTTGGCAGTTAAAAGTGTCTGAGTCAGAGTTTACGTTACCTGACTCGGACAGAGAAACATCTTTCAAGATGTTGTTGTTATTCTCCAATGAATCTGATCATGAGTATGTGAGAAATCGAATCTTACACAAGTGTCAATGTAATTTAGAATTCACAAAACTTGTTAAATTGTGTTATTGCCCACAGATTTGGAACTCTTAAGTGATATATAATTCATTTGATTGTAAATGTGATGTATACAATATGCTATTTTATACCAGTTAAAATAAGTTAACCCAAGAACCTGTTCTGACTTAAAAAAGTGTCAATTTAATGCTGTGATTATAAAAGATTTATATATAATTGTTTGATATGTTGGTTGTAAGTTTTCTCCATCATTTCCTAACATTTAAATTGTACAGAAATTTCAAACTTTTAGATGTCAGATTTTTCTATCATCTCCCTTATTAAGTTTCTAGTTAATAAACAAATCATTCAGTAATTATTGAAGGATTTTTGAGTCAAGTGCAGAACACCATTTCCAATATAGTGGATCTTCAAGATTTTAGGGAGTCCCACAGGAAAATCAGGAGTCTAGGACTGAAATATCATAGCTCAAAATATCCCTGAACATTACATGTTAAAAGATGCCAGTTTTACCTGTTAATGATGCCAGTTTTTATCTGTTAAATGATGCTAGACATTGTTTAAAGCATAGTTTAATTTTACAGACTCAACGGTCCATTCTGTATAGTTAACAGTTCAGTCTTAATAGTTAACAGTCCAGTCTGTATAGTTAACAGTTCAGTCTTAATAGTTAACGGTCCAATCTAGATAGTTAAAGGCCCAGTCTAAATAGTTAATGCAGCATGTAATGGAGACCCATTCATTGTCTTTATTATTTTGACCAAGCGTCTGATCTGATCACAGGAAATCAATTAATCAATTACATGCCCACAAAAGTGTCAATTGTCATTGAATTAACGATGGTTCTGCAGTCCTTTGAATTATTTTTGAAGTTATTGTTGCTTAACATCTTCAAATCACATAATGCACAGTTTGTCGTTTTCATGGAGGTGATATTGTCACCATTTTATGGTGAATTAGTGTTATTGCAAAAACTGGATGCCTGAGAAAGTCAGACACATGTTCATTATATTTTTGACCTGAAAAAAAAAACTAATTAAAGATTGTTGACATATTGGTATTGTCACTAGTCAGCTTGTCCAATTATCCTAAGATAATTTGAAAATTACTGTTGTTTGAAACAGATTAAATGGTATATCAATTATTTGTACAAGTTATCAAAGATTTTGGCATTAATCATTGTTGTCTTTATGAATTCTACTGGTGTTTTATTTGTAAATTTGCAACATATATGACATATTTGAAACTTTGAAAATTTGGACCCAGGAAAATAAGTGACTGTTCAGTTGTTTATTCATATGTGCTGATTCACTGTCAAAGGCTTGTATATAGTGTAACATACACAGTGTTTATTTCAGTCGGGTACTTTGTATGGATCTTTTTGAAATTGCCCTAAGAAGTGTTCATGATTTTGAATTGTTTTCAAAAGAACACAAGGATTTCAAATATTTACACATAAATGGAAAAAAGTTTTTAATTAAACAAGAAATTTAGTTTTGCATCAATGAAATGTGTCAAGGTAATATGTCAAGAAAAGTAAGCTAAGCACAAAACATTGTTATGAATGCTGGTAGTTAATGCATGTCTCTTCATAAAGGAAAAGAATGATTTTCACTTATCCATGAAACAGGAAGTTTTCCCTAGTCCACAATTACATATGTAATAATTTTCTAATGAAATTGTGCGAAGAGTAAAAACCAGAAGAGGTGTAGGTATTCCGATGGAAATCAATATGTACCGATGAATATGCAAAATTGTGTCTATTAAGTAGGTTTATAGATGAAGGATACATGCCCTTCATTCCTGTGTGTTTTTAACTGTCACTTTGTTAGAAAATGTTCACAAAAAATTTATTATATAGTGTTTTATATATATTTAATATTTTAGTATACTACATATATTTATATATATAGGTGTGTTATATATGGATTGAACATTTATATAAAAACATTTTTTAAATATGATTATTTTTCCAAGTTATCTATAGTATTTTATGCTTATTTAAACTTATTTAATGATACCAATTTTCTTACAGTATCCTCTATGTGCAATAGTTCAACAATATTATGTAGATCTTTTTTTCTTTTTGTTTCTTAAATTCCATAAAAACAGATAGGTATGTCACAGTATGTACATAACCTACATTCTGTGTAAAAAATAAATGATACCTTTTTTATTTTGTGTGATATATGTCTGTGTACACAAATCAATACATTAGTGATTCATAAAACTGAATTATTCCCCCTTACTACGCAATTTTTCTGAAAATGAGAAGTGGAGAGCCTCAATGCTCGACACTTTAGTATGGTGATTTGATGCCCCATTTTTGTGTTATTTTCTGAGAAGGGTGTAGAGCTATAGATCTTCACTGTCAGAAGTGGAATATATCCCTTTAAGATAAAAAGGTGACGAGGTTCTTTTGTTAGTGTCAGAGTAGGATGTTTCATTTCTTTCTGGACTGTAAGAAGTGGATTGTCTCCCTTCTTGTGAGTGTATAAGTAGTGTATGATTATGTTTTTGTCCAATATGAAAAGAGAGTTGTCTCCCATGTTGTACAATCGCCATAAAGCGTGAAGAGATTTAATCCTTTATGTATAGAATATAGGTGGGAATTGTCTGTGTTGATCAGGACTGGTAAAATTAGAGAGTAAAACACATAACCAACCAATCAGCTGACTCATCCCTTACATTTTTGGTTTGAGGACAATACCATAATTATGACCATTCCCAGGAAACCTTCTTATGTGACCTTCCTTTTATTCTTTGGTGTTGCTGTAGAGGCATATAGTGTTGGAAACTCAAACAGCATTATAGAATGATCCATTGTGCTTTCCTGTTTGAATTACCACCAGTATATTGTCAAAATTTATTAGCTCACTTGGTCATGAAAGGCTGAGAAGTTTTTGACTGAAGGTCAGAAGCATCCTCTCGAGAAGGGTATTGTAGATGATAGATCTGACCCATGTGGAGCCTGATGAGCATGGCTCAATAGGGAAGATAGAAGAATTGCTTTAAAACTCTTCAATAGGAATATCACGATTATGACCAATGGTGGTCTGAAGCATTTTGGGATGAAGGGGACTCAAAGACTCCACTGGGTCCTAAGGCCGGTGCACTTACGAGGAAAAGTTAGCAAATCAGTTCTGTAGGAATGTTAGGCTTTTGTCCAATTTAGGTTTAAAGAATGCTCGACAGATAAAGGCTCTGTTTTGTATGAACAGTCATTCTGACCCTCTTGGTGGCAGAGGGGTGGGATCCAATAGGGAAATAAAGTAACCACTTTGAAAGAATTCTTCTTAAAGGGAAAACTTAGCAAATTCTTTAAAATCCTTTTCCTTCAGCAGAAAAAAATTGGAATTTGTCCAAATTTGGTCTAAAGCTTCTTGTGTGAAAGGAACTTAATTTTGTGTAAACGGCAGGTCTGACAACCACATGAAGACTGAGTGACATGACTCAATATAAAAGACAGATGTTACTTTTGAAATCCATCTTGATTGCATTAAAAACATTTTGAATGAATTTTGATTAAAATATCCTTGAGTGAGGAGTATTTTATGTAAATCAAGGATTTGCAGAAGGGGAAACTGGGATAAGAGTATCAAATCTCTGCTTGGTTGTACTTATTTGTCAAAATGTAGCACCAGGTGAGCAATACATACCCCATGGGCCTCTTGTTTTTCTGAAAAATGTGTTTTATAATTGACATGACACAGCAATGGTTAAACGTGATGAGCTTATTTATACAGCAAGAAAAAAACCAGAATGTATCTGCCACCCCTGTACAATGATTTAAGACATTTTCATTTAAGGATTTTTATAGGATTTGCAAATAATAAAACAAAACCAAAAAAAATGATTTTGCATTAATGTTTTGTTACAGGTGGGAATGAAATGTTTATGATAAAAAACTGAGAACTTGAAATATAGTCAGAAATGTATTTATAAGAGACAGAGTTTTTCATTATTTATTTTGACAGCTAACAGACTTTTTAAAAGTTTCTTGGTTGTAAAACTATAAATACTTGTTATATGAGCCATATTCATACAGAGGTAATATGTAGACCTGTTTATAAATTTAAAGTTTTATTTATTTATTTAGTTGTTATGTTTAAGAAAAGTATTATCAACTGATATGACTGATTGTGTAGAAGTTAATCCTCTCACTTTATAAGCAATCATATAAGACATTAAACTATGGTGTCAAAACTCATTTTTATAGATAAGGAAATTATAATATATACGTTTGTGCAGTAGATTAAACTCTTCAATGTTGAAAAATTCATCAGTATGAATACAAGTTAGAAAAATGCAGAATTAGAATTTTTTTATTTGAAATAAAAGACAAACATTGTATGTTTGTGTGTTTATCTCTGTCTCTTAACACATTGAACATGATACAAGAACTTTGTTGTATAAGAAACATACTGATATGTTTTAAATGTATTGATAAATTATATTCTTTTATCCCTATGACATTGTCCAGATGGTTTATGTTGATAATGGACAGATGTTTATCACTATTTGGAACTGCTAGATAGCTATCACATATCCAACAATTGTGTATATATCAGGGAGGTATTCATGTTACCCAGTAAAATTACTTGTCTTGACCAGTAACACCATATCTGGGTATTGTTGTTACTTTGTAAAATAACCCATCTTGACCAGTAACACCATATCAGGGCAGTGTTTTACTTTGTAAAATAACCAATCTTGACCAGAAAACCATATCAGGGCAGTGTTTTACTTTGTAAAATAACCCATCTTGACCAGTAACACCATATCAGGGCAGTGTTTTACTTTGTAAAATAACCAATCTTGACCAGTAACACCATATCAGGGCAGTGTTAATTGTTAGTTTGTAAAAT